GATACCAAAGTATGGGAGAAGCAAGGCACTTGCAATCAAGATTTAAAAACTCAGCAAGGATCTGTTTAAACTTGCCATATGGACTGATAAGACTGAACCTACATCCTGCAGGAAGAATAAGGTGCTTTTTCTCGTCTGCTTTGGATTCACAGCTGTGAACTTTCTTTCCTGGTGGGAAGGATGATCTGTTCCCATCCCAGGGTCAGGTTTACTCATCAGACAACTGAATCTGATCTTCAGTGTCCAGGAGAGTGTTCCAAACAAGGGACAGTCACCTTTCAGTCTCTCTGTTAAAACTGTTCCACTTTTACGTGACAGATAATTCTTACTAATGCAGCTTCCCTTCTGCCAGGAAGATTTTATTAAGAGATAGGAAGAAACCTGTTTTGAGCATCCTGCCACAGGCACAAGGGCATGGGTTTTTTAATATTGCCAAGGCTGGACTGGGCATCTTTGGAAGTGGATACATTAAAAATACATCACCCACAGTCTCAGGATGTGATTACAGTTCACAGAGATGTGTGATGGATAACTTAAGTTCTGCTAAATTGCTTCCTACCAAAGTACATGTAGACATGTAACCCTGAGCAAGCACTTAGTTACTAAAATCTGGGTTGTTGCAGTTAATGCTAACTTAGTACAACCATAGTAACTGAGAATTTCTGGAATAATCAGGTTTAGGTAGCAGTCAGGTTGGGAGATTTGGGAATTGGTGTATTCAACCTGGATGAGCTACCCTCACTAGTTGCTTTAGGCTATTAATACTTTTATGGATCTGTCCCTGTAAGTCAGGTGTTAGCCTGGACATTCATGCTAGATTCAGAAGTTTTGCCTTAATCCTGAGAGTGTTCATGTAATTCCCTAGTGAACTTGTGATGGATTCCTGCTGTAGCTCCTAGTCTGGGATGGCCAAATTTACGCATGGGATGAACAGAAATAATACTGGAGCCGATAAGCTGCTCTTTTTCCTTGTGTGTAATGTACAGAACAGAAACTAAGCAAAATTCAAGGCTCAAAGCAGTTCCTGAGGGGTTTGTGTCACTGTAAAATGTAACAGTAAATAAATAAATTCTGCCTGTTTACAATCCTTCAGATAGAAGAAATAAATGAACAAATAAGGCGAGAGAAAGAAGAGGCAGAAGCTCGGATGCGCCAAGCAACAAAGAGCTCAGAAAAGTCAACCACTGGTGGTGGAGGGGGAAGCAAAAATTGGCCAGAAGATGATTTACAGTTGTTAATTAAAGCTGTGAACCTCTTCCCAGCAGGGACTAACTCAAGGTACTTCTCAGGTTTGGTGTTGAAAGTCCTACTCACCATTTTAATTAAATAACAAGCCTAATACAGCTTGTTTTCAGACCTTCCTAAGTATGATGTCAGTGTAAGGACTCCCTAAACTTCCTCCTTTCTCTTGACTTTTGAGCAGCCTGTGGTTTGTTCTCTTAGTACCATGCTCTGCATGTTACTGGAGTTAGCACAGCCTCGTATCTTGTCCCCCGCCAAACTTGGGCCTCAGTCCATCGGTAAGATTGTGCCAAGGTGTATGTTTGCACAGGGCCTACTACAGGATAGGCTCCAGTCATTAAAGCAGAGAACAGAAAGAAGCAGTGACCATGATGCAGGTAATAATACAAGTATGTAAGCTACTACCAGTAGCTCCACAATGAATGTGAGGCTGGTTTCTCCTCTACACAGTAGGAGGAAAACATCCGGAGATAAGAGTTAAATGTGGCAGCTGTCTCCAAGGGAGAGCCAGGGTAAAGGGAAAAGGCTGGGATTCATGGAAAGCAGCACTGGCAATCAGCTCACTAGTAAGCATCAACAGGAGCATGCCTTGAATCCTGCTTTTTCCCAGGAAGGAAATGCCTTCTTCCACGTAGCATTCACAGATGTGAAGCCTCCATTACAAGATTTGGATGCTTACTTTTAGAAAAAGAAAAAAGCTGCCATAATCTTTGTGGAGGTGAGACCAGTACCTGGTTTTGCACTGCAGCTCAGCAGTTGAGTACTTGTTTGAGAACACAGGCCTAGATATGATCATCCTTTATGATCAGGTGCAAATATTCCCTTCCATTTCCTAAGAATGCACTAAGAATAATTTTGGGGCTAAGGCTGTTCCAGCTCTCTCCTGTTGAAGCCCTTTTATATGATGCTTGGGTATTCTGTTGGGGGGTGGTGGACACAGGGTTAGTAACTCCTCAGCCCTTTCAGTGCAGCCTGCAGTATTTAACGTCAGAGGTGTGATGGGAATTCTGGAAAACAATAGCTGAACATTCTACCCCATTCTCTTCCTGTATCAGAAGCAAAAGTTCACCCAAGCTGACTGAAATCTTAAGGGAAACATCTGCATTTAGTGAGTGAAAGCTTTCCAGAATAGTTACCATTAGAGTTTGTAAGTATTAGAGTATGATTAAACTTAGGAGTTGATTTAAATGTGCACAGGAGCTTAACTGTAGCTTGTATGAAGAAAAGCTGTTATGTAATCTGCTGATTGACCCTGTCTGTTCTTGCTTTAGGTGGGAAGTTATTGCCAATTACATGAACTTGCACTCTACTACTGGAATGAAACGAACAGCGAAAGATGTCATCAATAAAGCCAAGAGCCTCCAAAAGCTTGGTATCTATATTACCTTATTTTTGTAACAAGATGGCCTGAATACTTCTGTACAGCTTGGGTTTCTTTGAACTGCATTGTGTATATTCCCAAAAGAAATGTAGTTCAGATGAAAGATGTAATAGAGCATTTATGTGGTTCAGTAGTTTCAGCCTAACGTTGTGTAAATCACCCCCTCATGACTGACTCTCAGGCATTCTCTTAAGCTCGATGCACAGACGTGTAAGCCACATGCATTGCCAAGGCTCCTCTGCACTCAGAGAGAGACAAACGGGCCTCTGGGAAAGCTCCCCACAAAGGAAGGCATCTAGAACAAATGGAACTGATGGGGCTATAGCAATACTTTAAAGAGATGAATGGGATTCAGCACCAGAGTAAGACACCTGCATTAATGTGGTAAATGGAGCCTAGACAGCTCTGGAGTAAGTTCTCAAGGAAAACCAAAACATTCCACTCTAGAAGAAAAAAAAAAACATTTTCCAGATGTTCCAAACCACGTCCCTGCACAAGGAGGGCCTGGACTTTGAGTGTTCCTACCCCTCCAACACACTTATGCTCTGGGTAATGCGAGTTTTGTGCCACAGCTCTGACTTGAGAGAATAATCCCTCTTGATTTCACTGAAGTTACAGATTCAGGCTTAAGTTTACATGGAAAAAGTATTCACCTGAGCAGGATAGGGGCTGGAGAGCCTGGCACTTTGAGCAGAGTTTATTGGAAACCTGAAAGATTCATTATTGTTTTTACCTACCACTCTATTTACCATTACTTTAAAGGAAGTAGGAATTAGGGTTGTTTGATTATGTGGTTATTGTAAACTAATAATCTGCTACACGATGTTTTTTACCATTACACCTGGCTTTAACTTCATTGCAGTGATTACTCTGTTCAATGTCTGTTGCTCATAGACCCTCATCAAAAAGATGATATCAACAAGAAAGCATTTGACAAATTTAAAAAAGAACATGGTGTGGTGCCTCAGATGGACAGTGCTGCCCCCTCGGAACGATTTGAAGGTAAAGGTGAAAAGGGAGCCCTTCTTCCCGAGCTGTCCCCCCTGCACCTCTGAGAACGTAACCCAGAACTTCTTAAGACTTGCTTATGAACAAACACATGTAGCAAGTAAGTGATTCAGGCTGTGTGACTGGATTTGAGGGTTGCTGGTACACACAGTACAAGCCACAGTTAACTGAAGAGTAACAGTTTGAAATCCTTCCTGGTGAGGCAACAGGTCAAGTCTGATGCTGAGATCATCTGTTCCTCAGAGAGTGCTACTTTGTCAGGTAAAAGTAGGCCTGAGGGAATACACTTGAGATATAGGATCATCCTACAGCTAAACTTTGGTCTCCTGTTAAACCCCAAACGCCTCCCACCACCTTTTCCAGACTGGCAGAAGGCTGTTTTTCCTGACTACTGAAACACAAAAGGAAAAGCAACACTGCTGCTCAAACACTGTAGCTTGACAGGGCAGCTGCAACAATCTAACACCCAGATGACAATGAAGGATGTTACCTCTGAACTTTTCTGTGCTTTATTTAAAGATCCCAAGGACCACTTGTCCAGTCAGTTTCAGGGTTGAGATTTTTAGTAGTTTGGCGTTTTGTGTTCTTTCAGGTTTTTAACTCGGTAGCGCTTAAGTCACACTGGTTGTTCTTAGGCTTATTTAGGTTTACCTCACACTCTCCTTATGTATTTTTTTTCTCCTTGTCATTTTTGTATTTAAAAACAGGATCACCTTTAGATTCATCCCCTTGGACTACAGAAGAACAAAAGCTTTTAGAACAAGCATTGAAGACTTATCCAGTAAATACTCCTGAAAGGTGGGAGAAAATAGCAGCAGCTGTTCCAGGCCGGTCAAAAAAAGACTGCATGAAGCGATATAAGGTAAGGTACTTCACCTCCTCCTAGGAGCGTCACTAGCTCAGGTCTTGTTAGAGTCCTGTGGGTCTACTCTTGCCTTCCCTACCAGAGAGAGTATCTGACAACAAACTGGCAAAAGATGGAGCTTTGCGGGGAAACGGGGTTTTGGAGGTTTTTTGGCAACTCGAACTCCAGAAGCACAGCAAGGGTTAAGTTCTCCTCAGTGAAAATAGAGGCTCTGGAAGCTGGGAAGGAAAGTCTGCCTCACAAAATCTGTCTTACACTGTGACAGCAAGCTCCTGTAGATGCTAGATCCCCAGCCTCTTGTAAGCAGAGTTCCTGTCATAGGGATGTAGACGAGCACTGACCTTTCATTTATTTATCTAAGATAAATTGCTTTGAAACAGCAGTGGTGTAAACAAATTCCACGTGTAGATAAGGATCCCTTTTCTTTTTTTCTCCTCCCCAAAACTTCAGGAACTCGTTGAAATGGTCAAGGCAAAGAAAGCTGCTCAAGAACAAGTGATGAATGCTACTAAAGTCAAGAAGTGACTCTTACTGACAATCTTTGTTTTATAATAAAAATGCAAATACTGTACATGTTTTCATTCCTTCCTTAATTATACAGATACACAGGAGTGGCTGGGTCTTCAGTTTTAATCTTCTCAAATGCATTTTTCCGACTCAAAAGCTTTAAACAGGGGTGTAGTTGGGGGGTTTCTGTGTGGATTTGGGGTTTTTTAAAGCTCAAACACACTGCAAGGTCTCATTCTCCACTACTCCTGAAGCCAATGCATGCCACTGCAGATTTTGTTATACTCTGGAAGTTGTTCAATTGGACCTGGAAGTTAAAGAAAGTTGGCCATGACACATGCTAAACTGATAGTGATTGGTGTGGAGGGGGTATGGGAGGGTAGGGAAACACGTAACATACCCATGGCAGCAACTGCAGGATGCTTTTCATAGATGTACTTTGTGCAGACTTCTCTAATAGTCTGGGCATCAATAGCCTACAAAGGGTAAAGAGACATCTTTGTTACCCATCCCATCTAAAAACAGTTTCTGATCTTAACTGTGTATAATCCAGGGGGACAGGCAACAAAACAGCTAAACACTTCCTCAGAAACAGTCACACTTCTGTATTGATATTTCCTGCAGCAGTTTCTCCACAGCCTAATTTAAGAGTTGCGACGGGAATGCCACTTACTTCAATTCTTGCCTCAAGTTCCGGAATTGGGATTCGGCGTTTATAACACAGCATTTGTCTTCCAATGTCTTCACAGATTGGTGTGGACCCTAAAATAGGGGAAAATATGCTTCGGCTACCAGCATACAACCCCACTAAGGATAAAAAACTCTCTTAAGAGGTCTCACCATCAAGTTGTAGCAGCATATTTGTCTTCAGAAGATTTTTCGCTCGAGCAACTTCATTTTCTGTAACGTTTGTGCAAAGTCTTATCCTGAAAAATAGTTTAAATCCAAAGGCACTAAATAACAGTAACCTGTAGCACACACATTGCCTGTGACAGAGGTGCATGTACATTCGTACACCCACCAGGCACCATCTTCTAGACAGGTTTGGTATGGAAACAAGCCATAGGATGCAAACCAGCAGTATAACAGTTGCATTTTTTGGAAGCAAACCAATATACCCAAGAGCAAGATTTTCCCCCTAGAAGAGCTGTATTTCATTTTGAGCCACGTGTAGTCCATACTTGCTATCTTGAGAATAGCTGTTGCTAAGATAGTAGGAGCCAAACAATCAGAAGTAATTAGCCCAGAAGGCAATCCATTACTTCGTGGCTCTTGGTGGGATAATGATTCACCACACTGCAGAAGGAACATTTTACCAGGACAGAGAGATGCATTAGCTATCTTAGCACACTCTTATCACAGGAGTGGTTCAGATCTTCCCCGGTGCTAAGCTGCAGCAAACTGACAGCTAAAGCGATACCATTTTTCTCCACAAATTGTTTAGAGAGCTCTCATAGAATAATGGCATATCTATATGGTTACAGAAAGTCCTCATTTTCAAGTTTCATTTCAACTCTACCCGCTTTAAATCAGCACTTTTAAACAACATTTGTGTTTCTAATCACATCTGCAGTTCAAGTGTTACAGTTGCACCTAAGGCCATGTTTTCCAAGTAGATTTAAGCTTTAGGTGAATGAATCTTATCTAGAATCCCAGGTTTGAAAATTCCATACGTAACAGCTCACCTGCCTTACCTGATTTCTCTCACTAGAGCTCTGTGTAACACCATCACCTGGGATGGCATCTGCAGAATGGGTAGGACTAACAGTACATGTGTAGGTAACTGCATGTGCATTAGTCTCACTCATGAATATTTGCTCTTTCAGTTGTCAAACACACAGTTCACAGGTACTGTGTACAGACTTGATTGTATTCAAACAGGTTTGAAACAGTTCCCTAACTCCTGCCACTTACAAGTCAAAAACCAATCACTGCTGTATTTATTTCTACAAGGAATGCTACTACACTAACTACAGTTCCTACTTTCTCTTCCAGAGCAGAAAAAGAAAACCAAACATAAACCTTAAGCTGTGCACTCCAAGTGAGGGTGCCAGAAACCGGCTGCTGGGACTCTGCACTGGGTGCCAGCGTTTAAAGTCTGATGCATTTGTTTTTCCAGGCAAGCCTAAGCACAGAAACAAAAATATTCTCTTTAAAGGATTGCTAAAGAATTGTATTCCTCCCCTGAAAACAAGGCTTTTAGAGAAACAGTTGTTAGCTTACCATTCTCTCTGAACAAAGTGCACCATGTCCTGTATAGTGGATGGCTCACAGACCATATAGAGTCCCCACAGCCCTGTGTCAGTGTAGCAGGTGTTGAAGGACTGGAAACTGTGACACAGGTTAGCATGACAGGCAATCTGAGCAAGTTTACTGGACAAATTCTGCTGAGGCAAAAGAAAAACAGATTATTCTGTGAAGTTATTTGAAAGCCTCCATAGTCCTTCTCCATGGAGTCACCTCTACAGTCTCCTGTTTTCATTTCAGTGATGATAGAACACGCAGTAGTACCACAGGCTCCAGCAGAAACTACAAGTTTAATTAATTACCAGCTCTTCATCTCAGTAATTACTTTCCTTCACGTTTCTAAGTAATACCCCAGATTTAAGCAAAAAATCATCAAGCTACTTAGGTTCACGAGCGGGACAGTTACTGATTCCCTCTGGGTCTGACGACCTACATATATGAAACATCCTACTTTCCCTAAGGGCTGGCAGACCTCAAGTCACCTCTATTTTGGGTGGTTTAGAACCACTTCCTAAGATTTTCCTAGATCTTAGGCAACAAATTCTCTCAGGCTCACAACTGGATCCCATTCTTCCCTTCCAAAAAAAGGCCTTCAGAAATAGCCATAAAGAAGTAATGCCATCGGATAGGTTTGAATGCAGCAGTTCTCAAGTCAGAGCGACCTCACCAGCCCACCAGCCCTGTTAGAAGCAGGAAGGTGCTTGCAGGATCACTCACCACGCCTCCTCCAAAGGAACGATCCCAGTTACCTATCAGGGTATTTGCTACCATAAGTGGGATTGTATCTGGGTGGGACCAGCCAGCTGCTTCAACAGCTATTGCCATGTGTGCCAAGGGCATCTTGTCATCTCGTATACGGATCTGTGGGAACACACCAAAGTAGCTGTAGCACAGCCTGTACGTGGTAATAAGTTCAGTATCAGGAGACAGATACTTCAATTACACCTGGATTATAAATCATGCACACAGAGAACCAAAAACTAAAGCAACATCAGCCTTAACTGGTCTTTCCTGCGGCAATTGCAGAGCACTTTTCCAACAGCAAACCTAATGCCATGTACACGGAGAGCGCGTTACAAGTCATTTTACAACTAACAGCAGCAAGGAAAGCCGATGATTCCAAATAGAGCTGGGAACAGAACACAGATGCTTCAGTTCTCTGCTATACTCTTTAAATTAGTGATTCTTAACAAGTGGAAATGCTCCAACATCACAGGCAAGGGGATACTCCATTGCTCTCACTGGGGCAAGAAACCTTTTAATCTGCCTTATCTATGGCTGAGCAGTTCTCCTCAGCAGACAGCATGTGTCAGTTGTGCTCACAGGGGATATAAGGACCAGCTCAAAAAGCTGTCTGACAGCTTACCTCACTACCTGTGAAGTGACAAGGTGGCAGGGGTGGCAGTCCTCCTTCTGGAGCAGATGGTAAGTTACCAAAATGGCACTTTGCTAGGTCAAGTAGCTCATCGTGAGAGACCCCTGAACAAAGACATTTCACATACTTTGCAGTGTTACTCTGTAAACAGTTAATTTAAATTGCTGCACAGGCAGTTTAAAGACTCAACCAAGCAGTGATTTATTGTTCTCCCATGTTAATGCCCCACTTTCAGATTCCCCACACCTCCCTGTTATACAGAGTAGGATCATCATCATCACCCTCCTTAACTCTCCTCAATAGCCCTCTATTAACATTACACTATTACACAAGCTGTTTGCTCCCAGTTTCAAGCCTTGATGTTATTTCACTCTTGCTCTCTCTGCTTTCCTTGCTGCTTCCCTTTTCACAATGAACCACTTCTAGGCCCCTCTTTTCCTGCCCACACAGAAGAATGACCTTGGCCTCCAATTCACTTCTAGTGGCTGGTTTAAGAAGATCTCTGGAATATTACTGAGGGGAAAAGGGAACAAGAGTTCAAAGGGTATGAAGGCACAAAACACACAGGGCTAACAATGAACTTACAAGACCTACTGAACAATACAGTAATTCATCATGTTGTTCCCAGAAACTTAAAGACCATGGTTTTAAGCACAGTTTCACACGATCCAGGGTGAGTATCTCATACTAACCTCCAGCAGCAGCCAGGACCATTCTGGGTCCTTTGTAATGTGTTGTTATGTACTCCACCAAGTCATTACGGTTTATGGATCTAGAAATAGTCAAGGAAACATCACTATTATGTCAGTAAAGTTTATTAAGGTACAAAGAGATAAATGTATAGAATATAGTACAAAAATAATTATAAGTTCTGCCAATGCACAGAGACACAGAAAGCTAAAATAAGGGTGAGTTCCTAAAAAGGAAATAGGAACTTGGTATATTTTGCCTTTCAAAGCTCTTCTAGCTTGCTGAGAAGAAATAAGAATTAGAATTCAGGCAGACGGAGACAGGACACTAATGATCTCACACCAAACAGCACGTTTAGTGGTCTCCTGCACTGGTATAAACAGAGCAGTTTAGTGGTCTCCTGGTCTGCACTGGTATAAACAGAGGAGTGCAGACACAGTGGTATCCACAGTAATGTAAGTAACACCTGACTTGTAGGGAAAAGGAGCATTTCCAATTTTGTATCAGATGCATTTTTAACAAACAGGAGAAAAATATAGCAAATAATGAAGACATGCAGTATCTGCATACAGGGGAATTAAGGCAACAAGGGAATTCTTCTTATAGTTAATATCCAGTGCAATTTTAGCTACTTTCCAGGGAAAACATGAACACTGATGCTGTTCCCTACATTTTCAGATGATTCTTTTCAATATATGAAAGTCAATACACAATGAAAGACAGCCACAAATCTGGACATACTTGATGTTTTCAGTGGGTCCTAAAATTGTCCGTCCTAGGGCTGTCTTCTGATAGGCTGTAGCATGCAGGTAATCAAAGACAACTTCTTGTAAATTGGTTTCCACCTCTTGCATCTCTCGAAGTATAACTCCTCGCTCACGCTCAATCTCTGCTTCTCCCAGGGTACTGTTCTGAATTATGTCAGCAAGAATTTCCACAGCTAATTGCAAATAGAGATGGGAATGGAAAGTATACTTTCAGGCTACCAGAAAACTCTGGTTCCAAAAGTAAAACCCACACCAACAACCAAGTGGCCCGAGATTCACTAATAAGATTGGCAGGGGGACAAAAGGCTTGCTCTGAAGGAAGGGAAAAGTCCAAAAGGTATTTTCTTTTGGGAACCTAAAGATAAAAACATTTCAAATACTGACTTCCCTGCTGGCACTCTCCTTTCCAAACCTGCGTTCTCACATTCCTGGGAGGCTCAAGACAGGACTTGTCACCCAGGAAGGAAGGGACTGTTACACTGCAAAAGCATCATTCTGTGTCATCTCATCAGGAGCTGGGTAAGTGTTTTGTTCTTTGCTGCCCTTCTGATGAATGAAAGCAGTTACCTCTTGGTAAGTCTTTTGAGAAAGCCTTTGCATAATAGACAGTTTGTTCCCTGGATGTATATGCATTCAGATGAGCTCCCATGTTCTCAATCTCTAGTTCAAGGTCTAACTGAGATCTCTTTTTTGTTCCCTGAAACAAAACAAGAAAATCAAACCAGACCCTTTAATTCACTACAGCATCATTACTACTTCTTCTCTGGGAAAGACAAGGTCAAGAGAAAGAAGAAGTCTTCCAGAAAGAAAACTGGCATGCTAATCTCTCCAAGATTGAAATATTAATCCTACCATGCTCCCAAATGAAAATAAAAAGCTGGCAAAAGGGGGGCTGTGTATATGCTAAGACTATTACACTAAGTTAAAAGTGAGTTAAAATTAGACCTGTCTTACTAACCTATAGTTGTGTATCATCAGCTGCACAGAACTAGGACTTTAGGACTTCAGCTTCATTTTCTAAAGGAAACCAAAGACTAAGTTGCCCTTTTTTCCCCCCCTCACCTTGATTTGGAAAATGTATTTATACAATTATAACAAAGTTCTTACATTGCTCTTTAAAGAGAGGTAACTTAAAAATCCATCATCAATACTCATACTTACCTTGAAAGCCATATGCTCAAGGAAGTGAGCAGTTCCATTGTTCTTCTCATTTTCATACCTGCTTCCAGCATCAATCCAAAGCCCAACCTCATCAGAGGGAAGAAAAAGAAAAAAAAACAAGTCATTTTACTAAGAAGTCAGCTTTCCTGGTTTTGTGTATGAACTACACCTACATTTGCAAGACCTATTTTGAAACAGCTTTTTCCTTAAACAAATCAGGTTTTCAAGACAAGCAAGATTTTGATCTTCACAGAAAAATCTAACCACAAATCATTTACAAAAGCCTTAAGACTTCTATTTCCTAGCTTGAGCTTTAAGAACAATTATTGCAAACATTGAAAGAATACGATTTAGGTCCAGAAGGAAATGAACACACGTGAACTGTTACAAAAAAACCCTTCTCTTTACAAGTTACCTACTGTGCATGTTGAGAGTCCAGAGTCTTCAGAAGCTACCTGCAAGCCATTTTCCAGAGGACTCACTCTGGTTTCAGGAACATTTAAGATTACTTCTGTTGCTGCTTTGGAAGCTCTGAGCCTGCCTGTTCCAACATGCACACACTGTAAGGACAAAGCATCAGTCACACTCAGATTGTTAAGTAATACCCTAGAATGCTCTTCTGAAAAATGTATTCCTGAACTTGAACATGAAGTTTGTGGGGCTTTTTCGGTTTTTTGTTAAGCATGCATTTGTTCACCACTACTTCACATCAGGCATGCATTAATCTGACTCAGAAGAAAAACATGAAGGTAACTAAAATGGAGTAGATTGCATCTGCTCCAATCAAATGTTCTCTCAGGAAAGCATGTTATTATCATCAGCCAGCCACTACAAGAGCCACACTTGTTCCCCAGTTCCACCAGCAAGAGCCTGCAGGACCTTGAATGTATCCTTCAACATCTGGAATTCTTATGGGTACCTGCTTTCTAAAGTGAAGTGAGATACAGTCCTAGGGCCTATGTCCAGGACTGCAAATCAGTCACCCATTGTTCAGAACAGGGACTGATACTGAAATTGCCACTTTTATACAATCACCTGGCAGTTAAAGCACACTAAATCAGAACGGGGTAGAAAAGATGGATGTTAAAAAAGGCTTACTGCACTTTCTTGACATCAAGAAATTTAAACACGTATCCCAAATTCGAGCAATCAGATACTCAAAAATCACTACTGTAAAATATCAAATAAATGTTTCCCTCACCATATGATTGCCCTAAACGTGAAAGTACAAAATCCAGCTCTTGCTCTAATCCTGGAATACCAATAGGCCAGAGTATTTTAGGATCATAGCACAATTCAAGTTTGAAGGGGTCTCACAGTCCCTCTGGGCAGCCTGCTCCGCTGCCTGGCTGCCTCATGGGGAAAAACCACTTTCATACATCCAGTTTTTCCTCTCCTGTTGCAACTTATGCCCATTGCCTCTCATTCTGCCACCACACTGCCCTGTCAAAAGCCTGGTTTTGTCTTCCCGACAAGCTTCTGAGGGGTTCTGTCAGGCTGCTGTTAGGTCCAACCAAAGTTGTGTCTTCTCCAGGCTGAACAAGCCACCATCTTCTCCTCATAGGGCACATGCTAAAGCCTGCAACCATCTCTGCTGAACATAGTCCAGTTCGCTAATGTCCTTACTCTGAGGAGCATAAAACCATCTGCCATATACTATCTGTCTGACAAGGACAAACTAATCACTTTGTTTCATCAGCTCTCGGTGTTCCTGTAGTTTTAGCCTGGCTGGTGCCAGACACACCGCTGGCCCCTGCACAGCTTGCTGTCCTCCTGCACCCCCAGGCCTCTTCCACAGCACTGCTCCCGGTCTGGGCTGTCACAAGGGACCATTTTCACTGCTATACTGCACTACAGGGAAGGAAAAATCTGTGTTTGAAAACAAAATCTCCCTCTTCTGCCTATAGAAGGAACAGCTGAGGCTTCAAACTGGGATGATGGGGAAAACTAACAGAAGGGAAAAACTCTGGGATCGGGTCCTGCGGGCAGCCTCCACCTACCAACAGGCGAAAAGTGTCTCTTGGCT